GCCGTCAACTCACCGCCTGCAAAGCTGCCTTTTCGAGAGACCTCCTTTGCTCCTCCGAGTGTCATCGCAGATTTGGGACTGGAGCTGGAAAGGACAAAGGGACTTCTGCATCCCAGATTTGGGACTGGAGCTGGAAGGGACAAAGGGACTTCTACCAGACCGCTTCACACCGCTCGTGTCCCCATGTGGCAACTGACATTTTCAGACTTGGAGCGCGGCCCGGTCGAGAGTGATCGTAGTGTGGGGAAAGGCACTCTCGAGCGGGTTTTCACTTTCCGGGAGCACTCCCGAAAATTTACCAAACTCGGGAGTGGTGTGGCGAGGCCCAGTGTACTTGGATTTTGGGCGGACAAAATGCTTTCGCCGCCCTGTCTTGTAGTGCAGTCACGGTTGGAGTGCTGTATAGTGGACAGTAAGGGGAGGAATGCCAGGTTTTGGCTCCCTCTGACAGCTGTCCACGAGCTATACAAAATTTTGTATAGCGGACAGTAGTGGAGGGAGGCCCTTTCTGTTCAGCACATACTATACTTACCCTTCCCTAAAGCTTGTATATAATAGATATATAATAATATAATGTAATAAATGCTTAAAATAAACAAGTAAAAAAAGTAAACATGCACGTGTGATTGATTGACATGTGGCTGTCCAGGTTCACAGGCCTTGCAAATCTTTGTTTTTTTTTTTTTACAAAAAAGACTCAGCTCATTTGATTACACACACAAAAGGGAGAGGCTGGGAATTCTCAACAAACAACCCGGAAAAACAAAACAAAACAATACTGGGTATAGGGGGAACCTATACCTAGCTTAGGTGCAGGCGTCCGTGTATAATGCAGAGACAAAAATGGCCAAATCCAGACCGCTTCCCTGATACCACCTGACCCTGGGTACACCTTTTTTACCTCGTCTGCGAGCCTGCAACGTTCTCCAACTGCCGCACTCTTTCACTTCTGTTTGCAAAATCAAAGAACTCAAAATGTACCAAGAACAAGCCTACATAGCTCAGTTGATTCATCCGCGAACTGCTGGAATATACTGGCCCAGGTTCGAGTCCGGATGCAATCAATCTGATGAACAGAGTATATATATATATATATATATATATATATATATATATATATATATATATATATATATATATATATATATA